GACTTCACGGTCTACGAGTGCCCCGGCCTGGCCCCGGTAGGTGTCTCTCTCTCTCTCTCTCTCTAGGTGGGGAGGGGGCACAGGCCTCACCCCCACCCCTCCACTGCCTTGCCCTGTTTCTGAAGGAGGAAGCAGGGCAGACCGCTGGGGTTGGCGCATCCTTGGAGCAGGTCGGAGAGACGGGAAAGGAAACGGCTTCCAGGGATCTCCTATCCCTGCCGTGGGGAGTCCGGTTCTCACGGGTTGTGAGGCTGCCCTGCCTGGCGTGAATCCAAGCGGGGACTTCCGTGCCCGGAGCACCGTCCTTGCCGGGCAGTGCTATTCCACTCCTCCAGGCAGTGAATGTGTGACAGTTGTCTCTCTCTTTCTCTCCCTCTCTCTCCCTTTCCCTCTCTCTCTCTCTTCCTCCCTTGCTGGCCGCTGCAGACTGGAGAGATGGAAGTGAAAAACCCGCTTTTCGATGACTCCACTCTGCCCCCAAAGCAGCACCCCTGACCGGGAACTGTGGACTGTGCACAAGACCGGCCCGAGGGCTGCCTGACCAATGGCTCTCCTCTGCCCTCCTCCTCCTCCTCCGCAAATTCTTGGCTGAAATAAACCTGCCGTTTTGACAACTCGCTGCTGCTTGCGCTCGGCTTCGCCTTCTCCCCTGCACCGGCCCTTCTCCCGCCTGGCTCCCAGATGTCGGATGTCGGTGAAGCGGCTTTGTGGACTTTCTGGACTCCAGAGGGAAGCGGGGGCCTGCCCACCTCCTGCCCCCACAATTCCTGCCAACCTTGGGCAGGGCAAGACTTGCCATGCAAAAAGCAGAATTCAGAATGGGGTGGGCTTCTCTTTTCTCTTTCCTTGTTTTGCAGCCCCCCCACCCCCCAGGTTAAAACCCCGGGGCTGGGGGAGACCTTGATGCTCGAGGCTTCTCTCTTTGGGAGGGAGCTGCAGCTTCAAAGGAGAGGAAGTGTTCGGACAGGCCCTTCCCCGCCCGGCCAGTTGAGATGACTTGGGAAAGAGGTCCGTGTGCCCGTTGAACAGGTGGGAACCTGAGGCTGGATAAGGTGCATCTCCCCGTGTAGTAAGTCCAGGTCCATTTTATACCGTTTTCAGGACTTTCCCAAAAGAACTGCATTTTGAGGTGGCTGGGGGTTCATTTGCAGGCTTGGTGGGCAAAATTTTAGTTCTCAAAATGTCAAGGAATGGAAGGAATGTTACAAAACAGCGTTAAGGTCTGCAGAGTGACCTGTCCAAAGATGGGGAGGCCCAGAGCTTCTTCCATTGGGGCAGGCAGACTTCACCCCTCAATTCTCTCTGGGTGCGCCCACTGTTTTGCCAGTGTGGTGCCCCCTCCTCGCCCTGGCCCAACGTGAAGGGAGGCGACTTCTATTCTGCCTCCTTGGGCTTTTCCGAGGATTTTATAGCTGTCTGCCAAGACTGGCTGACCAAGAGCTGGGATGCCATTGAGCCAAGTTATCTTTTCTTTTTCATTACAACCAGATCCAGAAGGTTGACTTGTTTTATTTCATACCAAATTCAGAAAGTTTCCAAGGTATTTCAGAAATTCCACCATTAAATGGGATGGGTGTTGAAGGGGGAAGAATGAGATTCTTGGTCACCTGTGTTGTCTGCTTTCGGAAGACGCGATATTCCAAGCACTTGATCTCCCCACCCCTCAAGAATTGTGAGGAGGGGATGAGTTGTGTCAAAGGCAACCATCAAGGCTGATTCCTACCCCCCCATCTTCGCAAATCCAAAGATATTCATAAACCACCTGGGTAGCTGTAACCTATTTCTCCTTGCCCCTGCTGTGAGGTCTAGAAACTTGATGGAAAACAATAAAAGGAAAACAAGGTTTCCTGCTCGGATGCATAAGTGAAGTTTGCAAAGGGGCATCTGTTCATGCAATTGGACTAATGGATCGTGGTGCAACTCGCAAGCAGCTTCTTGGAAGTTGGCACCGTGCAAAGTAGGGTGAGTTGGCAGGGCAGAGGGTGGATATTTTATTTTATTTTGGAGATTTGCCAACAGGCTCAAGAAATCGTGTTTGGGGTGCTTTAGAGTTGCATGAGGAGATTTCCCTACCCTACCTGCACCTCTATAAGTTTTTTGCCAAGATGCCCCCACCTTCCCATCAGTGTCTCAAAGAGGGTTTTCTTGGGCCTGAATGGAAGGGCTGGAAACTGCAACCAGAGGGGCCCCCCAAGCCTCCATCTGCTGGGACCCTCGGCTGCCCCCCCCTATCTGAATCAGAAGAGGGGCTTTTTGGGGGGAGGGGGTAGCCAGATATCAGCCAGAGCAGCCATCTTTGTAAGCCGAGAAGAAGAGTCCTGTGCTGCACGACGAAGAGCTATCAGGGCTGTTTCCAAAGCAGTTTTGGGGTGGGGGGGATGGGGGAGACCCCTCTGTTTTTTTGAGTTTGCACAGCACTTTTGCACTTATCCCGCTGAGTAGTTTACTCCTTTTGTATTTCCAAAGAAGAAGCTGCACACAAGGGACGGAGACCTGAACTCGGAGCTACAAGTTCCGAGTTGCCTCCTCCTCTACTGCTTGGACTGTGTCCGTTGCTAATACGGAGGGAAGGAGGGAGGGAGCGAACAGTTTATCCTCCAGCCTTGCTCCAAGTGGGGGGGGGCTCTAACGGTGGCCCCAGAGCTGCCAGCTCTTAGAGCCCAGAAGCGATAGCGGGCTGGGCCGGGGCGGGGAGGAGAGAATGCCACACAGGGATCGTTTATTTTTTCTTTTCTTGTTTCGTTATTTTTGTTTCCAGACCTGTATGGACTGTGTTTAATAAATTTTATTAAACGACCAATTCTCAAGCTAGATCTCTGATGCTTCTTTGGTGCCCTGTGGTTTTAAAGGAACTGTTTTCCTCCTGAATTTAGGGCTACCTTAAAAGAAACATATGTCTGTCCTCACGGCGTCTATCCTTGGGGGACCTGCGGCCATGTTGGTTTGAGCCCCAAATTATTCTGTGTCTGGGAATATCTGGGAAGTATTTGGAGAAATGCAGATAAGGGTTCTCAGCCTCCTCATGCGGTGCCTTTAATATTCTTTTGCAGGGTGTGAATAGGACCAAAGGTCTCATCTAAAGATTTTTGGGGCTGATTCTCCAAGATGGCTCGGAGACCATCCAAGCCTGCGGGGTGGTGGCCAGCATTATGGCCAGTGGTCACTCTGTCCCCCCCCAATTAGGACAGGCAAACCAGCTGCTTAGCTCAGCCTTCCTGCTTTGGAATGGGACAACTTGCGATATAGCCAACTCGCTGTGGCAAACTCGCCACAGCCAACTCACTGCAACCAACTCACCGCTGGACAGCTTCTCACGGCCAGCTTGCCACAGGCCAACTCGCTACAGGACAGTTTGCCAATTCTATTTCCTTATTTAAAATAAATAAAGACAATTTTTAATTTTTGCCATTCCCATTTCATTCGGTCCCCCTCTCCTTTTGCATCCTTTCTTTAGGGTTTCTATCGCACCATTTCTTTGATATTAGTGTAACTCTTGTCCTCAGTGAGTTTTTCTGTGGCAAGGCTGCTGTGGTGATCTGTCCCGCAACAAACAAAATGTTAAAAGAGTTTTATGCAAGTCAATCGCACTCTGCACGTATCTTGAGGAAGATAATTTACTATTAAGGGGGGTTATTTTCTTAAATAGGAAAAGAATATTCAAGTAATCCGATTAAACATTCAGGCAATTCAAGTTAGGATTGGAGCGGTGCGCGGTGCTCGGTGGTGATGAAAGAAAGAATTGTTTTGACTCCGTAGAGGTAGAAAGATCCAAGAGGAAGGAAGGAGATTTATAGCAGCAGTACCCTTGTGTGTCAAGTTGTCCACCAGGGGGGCTCACAGGCCTTTCTGGACCCCAGTTTCAAATCCTGAAAGCTCTGATCCTGCTCTTAAAGATCCCTTTTTTAAAACCTTCCCAGCGATCGCCCTGTTAAATCTTCCTTTCTGGATGCTGGCAGTTTAGATTGTCATTTAAATTCCTCCAAGGTAACATATTGCACGGGGATTTTCTCTCCCCTCCATCCCAGCCCTGCAAAGTAGGTCAGCGTAAGATTAGGATTAGCGGATCCCTTTTAGACTGGGGGAGGAAGGGGGGAAGGGGAGGGAAAGTTGGGGGAATTAAAAATGGGTCTCTCTCGGGGTGGGGTGGGGGCTTCCAACTTGGCACCGGGTTCAGTCCAGTGGTTTTGGGAGAAGGAATGGGCATCCACTCCGTAGGGACCCAGCGGGACCGCTAGAGGGAGCTGACGGCCACACGAGGCTGGCACCGGATTGGCTCTGTGCCAAGAAAGGGCCAGATTTCACCAGAGGCGGAATGAAAAGGATGTGAAGCGATGATGTTCACAGGATGTGGGGAGCACGTGTGACTTGGGGGGCTGAGGGAGGACCGAGATCCAGTCTGGAGCAGCCGGCACTGCGGCCAGGGGCCCCTCTGCCTCCCCTCCCCTGTTAGGCCAGGCAAACTGGCTATCTAGCTCAGCCAACCTGCTCGGCCGCTGCTCACCCACCTCCGGGCGAAAGATGAGTCTGAAGTCAAGGGACTCTCTCCCTGAGGGTGCCCAGAGGATGGGTGTCTCCCCACTGCCAAACCAGGCGCTGTAACCACTGCACCCACTGGCCCCTTGCTTAAGACAAGGAGGGGCACTGAGGTTTCTAGCTTCCTTTCCTGCCAGCTTCACTTGGGTAAACAGGAAAGCGTTTACGGCCAGGCTGATCTTCTGTTTCGCGCCTTTCTCTGCTGCTGGAAGGGCTTCCCCCTCTGCCGCTGCCTCCCGTGTGGCATTCGGTGTGGGTTCAACTACAAATCTCATCTTCCATCCCAGAATGGGTGGTAGAGGGAGACGGAGCTTGCTGGGGTAACAGAGAAGAAATGAAGCTTGAGCAAAGAAGGGAGGGAGGGAGGAAAGGAAGTTGAAGGAAAGAGAACAAAAGAATAAGAAGGGAGGATAATTGGGGAAAGGCGAGGTGCTGTGGGTGGGCCCTGGTGCAAATGGAGAGGGGCTCTTAACTGGTCAGTGCCAAAGGCGGGCAGCTCCGGGGCAGGAGAGGAGCCACAGACAGTCCGGCTGCCCCAGAGACAACCCTGGCTTCAGAGGCTGAGGCCGCTAGTAATCCCAAAACCAGCGCTTCAGGTCCGGGTATAGTTTCTCCAAGGGCAAGCGAGGGTATTCCCGGCAGATGGAACAGAATCGTTCCTGCCAGTCCTGGTGGAGTCTGACCGTGTAGTTCCACTTCCAGGCAAAGAAGCTCCGGTAGTGGCTTTCGTTCATGGTGGTTAAGAAAGTGGCCAGGTCCTTGGCTGAGCTGAAGTCATCCACGTGGATAAAGGCATTGGCCGGGATGAACTGCTGGTAGTTGGCGCGGGAGGGGCCCAGGACGATGGGCACAGAGCCGGCGAGGAAGGCGTTCCTCCACAGCTTCTCCGTGATGTAGTCCCGGTGGATGGAGTTCTCGAAAGCCAGGTAGAACCTGTACTTGGAGATGGTTGGCAGCAAACAGTCTGGGCACAGCGGCTTCCTGTTGGCCTTTCCGAACACATCGATTCTGAGGTGCCTGGACAAGTTCTGGAACATCGCTGCCCTGGCTTGGGAGTGCTGATAGTTGCTGATCACCCAGGACACTAAGCCGGTTTTCTCGGGGATCTCCACCACATCCGGCGAGTGAGGCACCAGTTCCCCATAGGGGATGAAGAGGTCAGCGTCTCGCCTGTACGAGAGGACCCAGTTCCATTCCTTCCCCGTCCAGCCCTCCAGGGCTTTGGTGTTGCTTGGAGACTCCAGGGAGACCCAAACCCACTTTTGCCAAGGGTGGGCCTTGGACAGTGGAAGGCCCTGTCTTTGGTACTGGAGTTCCCAGTGATGGAACACCACAACGTCTGCTTGGCTGAACAGGTGGCGGTTTGTGGTCAGTTGGCAGCCCGTGATGCCGTAGAGCCTGGAGCAGACATCACCGGTCAGGTTTGGGGCTGCCCTGAAGGGCCAACTCCAGATCAGGAGGGTCAAGTTGCTGTTCTGCCTTGAAAATCTTGGAGGGTTATCGGACAACTTGAAGAGAAGTGGGGCATTCCAGAACAGGACGATGCCAAGGAGAGATGCGCTTGCCCAGATCTTTGCCATGGGGGCCATCAAGTGGGAAAGTGACTAGCAACACAACTATTGCTTTTATGTTAGCAGCTGGCTTGAGGAACTGCGGTTGCTCTGCCCTCTTCCTTCCTTTGTCCCAACAGTTCTGCAAGAGAGACAGAAGAGGTTAGGGTTCTCGAAGGATTGCAAAATATCCCCTGTTGCATTAAAGGAAGTAGGGAGCAGCACGGAAGTCTCTTGTTCCGGCCCTTCCTTGACCCCAAGGAGGCTGGGGGTTTGTGAAACCTTATCCTGACACAAAGTGAGATCGGAGTCTTGGGAGTTGTTAAAGTTGGAAGGGAGGGAAGAGACTGCAAAACTTTTCAGCTTTAGCAGCGTTACCACCACCTGCAGTGACGCCGCGGTGACACCAACTGCTATGCCTTTGGAAAACATGGAGCATTGTAATGCAAGTAATATTTCATAAACTATATTTCTGTCTCACTTTGGCTACAAACAAATAGAATCTCCCTCTGCCCGCCCCCCAGCTGCCTCATATCTCTTAAGCGAAGACTCGAAGAGGAGATAAAAGATGATCTCTGGGTACTGTTGAAAAAAGAGGTGCGTCTGAGGGACATAAAAACAGAGGATGGGTCCAAGCAGGGAGAACAAGGAAGAGAACCCCCCCAACTCTAGAGAAAACCTCAGTTTCTCTCTCTTACAACCTTCCCGTTATCATCCAACCAACATTAAAATCTATTATTTGGAAGAGGGTTAGAAAATGGAGTGGGTTTTTTTAAGGTTCAGCGGGATGTAAACTCTGGTATTTTGAGGATGTTTTGATCTGAATTGCTTTCACTTCTCACTCAGCCAGATTTTGTTCTGGAGGTTAAATAGAGAGAAAATCACAATACCCGAAAGATGGCTGTCCATGAAATGGGGCAGGGCAGCTTTAAAGTTTTCTATTCTGGAAAAGGAATTTGTGGAGAGGTATCTGAGCAGAACTCCTTATGAACAAGACATCTGACAGTCATACTAATTAAGCAGATTCTGGCTTCTTTAGTTGATAAGTTTTTCTTTTTGCATTTGCGTTCCTCTCCCTACCTATTCTGTTTTTGGCTTAAACATATTTTTGCATGCTGTGCACTTCTATCTAAATGCAGTACAACGAAAGCCAATGCGTGGTGCGGTATAAACAATGAGCAAACTTGAACAATGTCATGATCAGTTCAGGACAGTCTGCCTTAATTTGACTGGCATCCAAACCTCTACAGTCAAGAGAAACCTTAAGATTCACAAAGGTCCTGTGGAGAAAAATAAAATAGAATAAATGTTTTAAGGACCTTTAAAAACCTTAAAATATCAGTCTCCGAGGAAAAGTTGCGGGGAGCCAATACTGAAGCCAGATGAGAAATGTTTGAAGTCCGCGGTGGTCCTTCTAATCCCAACAACAACACTGATTGCGCAAAAGAAGATGAATCGCTGTGCAAGGAATGGAGGTTTCTGCCCAAAGTGGCAGAGGCTGGCTCCCTTGCCCAGCAAGGATTGAAGAAGAGGAAGGGAAGGGCTCTTTCCAGGGATGCCAAAGTGATTCCAATCCAGTTTGAAGGACTTGCCGGTTTAAAAAAAATGCTTTCATGGTTTGGTTGGAATGTGCAGCAGGCACTCAGGAGCAGATGGGTCGCTTCTCAATGCTTGCCTTTCAGTGGTTTCCCCTAATGTGGTGGGGACAGGAAGGGGCCAGTTCCTTCAAACTGGGACGGTGAGGGAGAGGAGAGCCAACGGCGTCAGCTGGTGCTCCATTCAAAATCCAAGAAAGAAATACTTAGACTCCATTAATCAGAGAAAAGATATCTTTTCCTGGAAATCAAGCGGTAGCAGCAAAAGAATTCTGAATCTGAGAAAATGGGCGCATATAAATCACATATACAAAGTGATGGCAACGTTCCCACCCCCAATAGTTCAATTGGCTCATCCAATTAAAAGTTGTGTATACCATCATGTGGGCATCTCCAGGTGGTGATGAGGCTTCTGTCCGTTGACCTTGACATAGTTTGATAAAGGGTGGCAGCTGCGCATAGCATAGGATAGAAGCCTAAGCAAGAATGTACACACACACTCAGTTTATACAGTTCTGGTTTGTAACACCTCCAGCTCACTTCCCATAATCATTCCCCCAGCCCCCCGTTACTTATGACAGCCGAAAGAAGCAAAGCAAAGGGAGAGAAATCTTGAAGGCTGACAAACGGTGAGCTTTGCAAGTGAGTTGGCAAGCTGGTGCCAATCCAACCCAGCTATGATTAGGAATCAGATTTTAGCCATCTGGACTGGGACTTCCCACGGGGGTGTTCAAGACAGTTGCTTGAAGTCTTGCAGAACTATCTACTGAACATCTCTAAATGTGTTTGTTTTTTTCCTCTGCTGCTGTTGCCAACCCACATTTGCGTATGCCACCGACTCCTCCAGACACAAAGCGGCTCTGTGCCTTAAAACACGAAATGCAATAAAAAGCCACCTCCTCAGGAATAAAGCTCATAAGGATCACAACCCCCTTCGAGGGGCCTTCCTCTATGTCCTCTGGGGCAGACCCTTTTCTGGAGGGCACAGAGAGGGAGAGGGCTGCTCCAGAACTAGGGCTGTGCATGTTGAAATATGGGCGGTTATGAGAAGAAAATGGTGTCTCTGCGTTCCTGAATTCAGATGCCGACAGGTTCTTCACCCCCACCCACCCCCGACAAAAGCTGTGGACCTCCAAAGTCAGATTAAACCCAAACAGGAAATGATGGCAGGAATTCATGATTAATAAGAAGAAAATATGAAGCAAGCAGATGATACGAACCGTGGCAGGAACAAGGCAGCCAGAAAGAATCTTCTGAGTAAACTTTAGTAAATTGGTGAGTTGGTACAACTGCCCAATGACCATGGTTCATTTATTCCTAATATAAGAACATTTCGTTAACTTCCTCCAGCTGGTTGATTGGTTGATTCACTTGAGATATTTTATGGGCACCAGGCGATGTAGCCGCTTCTAGTAATTCTGAAAGTGCCCTGAGTTTAAGGAAGCTGATCTTTCATATCCTTCCAGCAACTAAAATCAGTGCTCTTCTAACTAGCACTTCAAACGAACTATTTTCATCAAACGTATTTCAGGAAATAAATCAAAAAGAGAAAATGACAAGAGTTTGCATCAATGGTGGGCAACAAAGAGAACATCCTTTTTGAAATGCAGACTAAAAACTGCAAAATGGGGTTAATCCTTGAAATAGTGAAAACGAATTTAATTTTAATCTTAATTTTAAACCATAAAAGGGATTGGATTGAGAGAAATTTACCCGTGTCTGTGCCCAGAGAGTTAAACTTTAGATTTTTAAAATACTAATTAGGATTTTAAAATATTTATATAGCCCTTCCAAAATTTAAAAAATGAAACTGTTGCTACTTCAGCTAAAACATCTGGAAAAATATTGAATTTGAAATCTAGTCTTATAAGGTCTGTTTTGGGGACGGGTGGTAGCAGCAAGTGGCGAAGAGGCGTAGGAGCAAAATTTTTGTCAGAATGGTTAGCAGGAAGGACGACAGGTAGAGGAAACACAATGGAAGTTCTTTTTAAAAAAAGGCGTTCATTTTGTTTCGGTTCAATACTTATCTTCATCAGAAATCGCTGATGAATGAAAATTTAGTAACTATATTTTATTTATCATAAATCAGAGCATTTAAAACTCCATTCCAAGTGATACGGATTTATTAATTGAGTGAAAACTAGCACGAACTTAGGACAGAGAGAAAGACAGAAATGCTTTCCTTGCTCTAAACAACAACCAATAATTGTCTAAAGTACTGTTCGTTCTGTTCCACCTTTGCTCAGGTCCCCCCCCCCCTGGCAATGCCCGCCATAAATGGCATAGATGCACAACCTGGCCATACATGGCATAAATGAGCTTACCGGTGCCGCCCTGGTTCTGCCCTGCTCTTCCTCTGGAAGATCGATCTGAGCGGAGGCGGAAGGCAAAAGAGGCACTTGTGGTCTATGCTACTTTTTGAAAGAAAGCTGTCCCTGAAGCTTTTCACACCTTGGTCAGACTCAGCTGTATTGCGGGAAGTTTCTCTCTCTCTCTCTCTCTCTCTCTCTCTCCCCCAAACCACATCTGGGACAGCTGCCTAAACGGCTGAGCGGTGCCCTCCCCTGACTCTGCCGGAGGGGAGGATGCAGCTGAGTTTCCTGGCCTCCTCCTGTTGGGTGAACGCAGACACTCCCGCGGAGCTCCTCTTCAAAAGGGCCCGTTTTCCCGTGCAACTCCCTGCCACCAGACCTGGCATGAGGAGCCACTTAGTTTGCCTCTGGAAAGAGACCGGGGGCATGAAAGCCAAAGGAGAACTGGGCAGTGGTGGCCCAGCTCAGTGCCAGCTGCAGGTCTGGCTTTGACACCCAACACCTGGCGCACGGAGGCAACTTTCCGGCTGTCCCCCCCACAACAGCTCAGAGTTTTATTTCCACCAAAGTCTTAAATTTCCACTGCCCTTTTCGCCCTTCTTGACTTCAGCTGGGCTGTACCAGAGCCTGAAATGGCCTTTATCTCGCATTTGGGTAACTTTTGTCATGCTGGGTGGGGATAATGGAAGGTGTAATCCGGCTGAAGGGTTTAAGGCAGTGGTCGCCAACCAGTGGGCCGGGGACCGCTGATGGTCTGTGAGAAAATTTTGGTGGTCCGCAGAGAAATGTCACCCCCAAAGTAATTAATCCAGGCTGTGCAGGAACACAAGGCTTGCGTCGCTTGCATTGTGAACAACATGAGGTAGTGAGGGGAGGGGGAGAAGGGCGGAGGGGGGGAACTTGCCCCACTCACCCCATGTGCCTGGCCCGGGCACTGGGCTGCTTCTTTCCACTTCTTTCTTTCTTCTGCTTTTGGCTGCAAGCAAGGAAAGCAGCAAAAGTCTTTCTTTCCCTCCCCCAAACTCCACCTGAAATGAGTCTTTGGGACCTTACAAGGCCTCCTGCTCCAGTGTGACAAGTTTCACAAAGATTCATTTCTGGCGGAGTTTGGGGGAGAGAAAGAAAGACTTCT